CTCTGGTCCACGGGCCAACGCTCTAACCGCTGAGCCAAACCGGCCAGGGCGCATGTTTTTGAACTTTAAATAAATGGAGTCATATTGTGTGTATTCTTTAGTGCCTTGCTCTTTTTCAGCACTGTTTGAGGTTCATGAATGTGTGTAGCTATATTGTAGTCCATTGTGTAAAAATTCCATGATTTATTTGCCCATAGTTTTTAGTTTTTCTGCTATTAAAAACAATGCATCTATAAACACTTGTATACATATCTCCTCACACACATAGGCAAATGTTTCTGTAAAGTGTGTGCCTAGTAGTGGTATTCCTGGCTATAAATACATACACCCTCATGTACCTGGGCAGTTATTGCCATTCACAGTGGTTTCGAATGCTTACACTCCTTCCAGTAGTGATTTCTCTTGTACTCCATGTCGTCGGTGACCTTTGCTATTGTTTGACATTTCATTTTGCCAATCTGCTGTACAATACTTCATACTGGTTTTCATTTGCATTTTCTTAGTTACTAATAAAGTTGAGCTTAATATGCTTATTTGCCCCCTCTGCTCCCTCTTCTTGGATGTTTCAAGACGTTTTTATAGTCTTTGGCCTATTTTTCTTTTTGAGAGGATGTTTTTAAAGCAGGAGACAGTGAAACAGAAAGGCCTAGAATAGAAGCAGCAGCAGGAGGGAGACTAGGAGGGTGGCTTTTGCTCCCTAGAAACCTTATGGGAAGAAGTGAGCCAAGGCAGGGCTGCTGTCAGCTCACTGGTCAGAGGAAAGGGGGCCCTGGAGACAGGTTCAGGGGTGAGCCTGGGACGAGCTGCTGCTGCCTAGTGCTCCCCTGGTTGCAAGTCTCATGGGGACCAATAGAAGGGAAAGGCTGGGGGCTGCTCCGGGGAGGGAGAGCCTATTTTTTAATTATGTTGGGGTTCTACTGTTTGTAAGAATTCTTTGGACAGTAATTCTTTGTTAGAAGCCTGTGTGGCAGTATCTCCTGCCAGTCTGTATGGTCTTTTCATTCTCTTTAAGGTGATCAGTAAAAGTACTTACTTCTAATGTAATTGAATTTATCCATCTTTACCTATATGATTTCACTTTCTGTCTTTAAAAAAACAAAACAAAAAAGAAACTTCTCTATCCTAAAGATCCTAAAATCCTAAATTTTCTTCAAAATGCTTTAGCATTTGCCTTTGAAATTTTTGTGTATTGTGCTGGTAGAGGTATAGTTAAGTCACATAAAGACTGACTTTCAGTTTTTTGTTTCAGAACCGTTATTTGTGTAATAATCAAATGAGCATGATTTTTGAGTGTCACAATGTAGCTGATTATTACACATTTTTCTGGACCCTTCAGTTGGCTCAGATCAGCATCTTGACATGTTTCAGAAATATTATGTTCAGAATATGTTATAAAATGCAAGTAATTCACTTCAGGCAGCACTGCTTCTCATTTAAATAAGAAAAGATTAGTATTCCAGGCATGGTAATACTAATACATATTAAACTTGGCTGAGAAAATGTCTTACAAAATGAGCCAAGGCCTGGAAATATCATTTTAGAAGATATTGGTAATTCAACTTCTATAAAGTTAAAGAGAAGTCAATTATTCATTCTCACATTTTAGGGAAAGAGAGTGAGATATTATTTCTTTTGACAAATCTAATTTTTGATCTACACTATTCATTGTTAGTTGGACAGTGGTAGTCCAATTTTAATTCAAGTTGGGGTGTGTGTTTGTGCATGCTTAACTTTATAAAGACAGTGTCTTATTCTGTCATTAACCTTTCCTCTTTAATTCACATTATTCATTTATTCTACAGATATTTATTGAGAACTGTATTTTGCAAAGTAGTCTATGCCCAACTATTTGAGCATAACTGTATCAGAATTCAGGGACTAAACGACTGCTTATACTAACCGTGCCTTTTCACAAATTAGGCAACCGAGATCCGGACAGGTGCCGTCATCTGGCCAGCATCTCTGTGTGGTGGAGCATAGATGCAGATTTCCTGACCCTAGATTCAGAATTTCTCCTGTTGAACCATATTGTCCACAAAAAACTGTCTGAAAATCTACCTGAATCCTAAATATCGATATAATGTTCATAAAGATCCCTAAAGGGATAAATCACTGTTTGTGAAAAAATTATACTACATAGTTTTGCCTTCAAGCTGCTTATAAAATTTTTAAGATGAAAAGACACATTTGAAAAAAAAATTAGAGAAAGTAAACAGTTTAACTGAAAGTGTCCTGAGGATATTAGCTTTATCAGATTTGTTATATTTCCCTAACACACTGAGTTGTTCATAGGATGTATGTAACAGATACTGATTGAATGAATAAAACTATATATTGAAATATAAGGTGCAGGCATTAGGTGTTTTAGATCAGAGAAAAGGAAAATTAGCTTGAAGGGGGGGGGGGACTCTCCATGGAATATTTAGAATTTAAAGTGGGCTAAAACAAATTATTTCAATTTGATTAAACAGAGAGGAACTCCCAAATTTCAAGTTACTTGTTTAGTTCACTCTCTGTTAAGACTGTAAAGACAGGTTCTGTCAGTTATTTGCTTTTAAATTTCACCTCTTACCATCAATTCTTAGAATAAGTATGTTCCTGAAAAAATATGTAAATATGCTAAGAGATATGTATAAGAATATTAATTTATATGTTGTTTATAAAAGTACTAAAAAGTGGAACCAAACCAAATATCCATCAGTAGATTAATGGTTAGTACAACCAGATTAAAATTAATATGAATGTAGATTTATACTTCCAGCACACAAAGACATTGCTAATATGTTGTAGAGTAAAAACATCAAGCTGGAAAGTTATATAGAGAGAATGATTCTATTTTTGCTAAAAAAAAAAAAAAAATATGAAAATACAGGCGATGCAGAATAAGATGAGGGACATTTTTATTTTCTTTGTACTTCTCAGAATTTATAAAATGTCTTAAAATAAATATTTATTATTTTTAAAAATAATTAAATTTTTTTTTTATTATGGAAAGAACTCTAAATTTACTCTGACTCACCAGGCATATGAAAGCTATAGAAAAAATGATCTCCATTCACTGAATGTATTTTATTGAGCACCTATTATGTACTAGGCACTAAGAACAAAAGAATCTAAATCTATTTCAGTTCCTCTTGACTTTAGAAAAAGATGAAAATCATAAATAGAGCATCAGGAATCCATTTCCTTCAGACTTGTCACTTCAGAGGGGATCTTTTGTCTTACAATAATTTTTAAAAATTAAATTGATCTCTTTGTTCTGGTTGTACAGTGTCTAGACTACAAATAAAATGTTATAGGCTTTTCCATGTCTGACTTTTTAATTGAAATAATTCAATTCTCTATTTTGCTGGGAGAATAAAGCAACTCTTAAGAGCAGAGAAAAATGTTCAATGTGTTTTGAGTTGATACTGAAAACTTATGCATGTATTAATTATACTTTTATTCTGTACTGTATCATTTTATCCTCCTGTGGATTATGTTTTTAGATATGTAATTACACGTCACAATAATTATGTTGGTCATTATGGTTAATTTTAACATTGAAACTCCCAGAGGGTGGTACTTGTCATCTTGACAATGCATTAATGCCTAGCACCTTGGTGTTCCTGTGAGAGTGATTTTGTCAGAACTTGGCTTGCTCAGGATAAGACAGAACACATCCCAGGTCTAGTGACAGTCAACCCTGGTTAATTCTTTGCAGTCATGAGGCCAGGGAGGATCCTGTGTGGTTTTATTTTTATTAGCCTGTGCAGCTAATTATGGATGCAGACTTTTTGAATACTCTCATAATCTAAAAAACATAATGTTTAGGGATTTTTAATTGGTTATTCTTTTAAATTAAAGAAGCTATTCGCAGAAGCTCTTTTGTAGTTTATACAATATTAGCAGCTAATGTTAATAGCTTCCAAATGTTTTGTGAGAATTTACAAGCATTTCATTTACAACACTTCATTTAATCTTTAGACCACCTCTGAGGCAGATATTATTATATCAGTTTTCCAGGTGAGAGAACATAAATCCAGTTAAGTTAAAATGACTTGCCTAAAGTCACATAGATAATAAGAAATAGACCTAGATTCAAATCTATGTGTCCTAATTTTAAGTCCCATTCTCTTTCAACTCTACCAAGCGACCGTGACTCCTCCTCTGCCTTTGAAGTTAGAAATGTTACTAAGTATTGCGGGTTGACACCTATTCCTAACTGCCCTGAAGCCACCTCTAATTGTGAATATTAAGCTTATTTTATTTAGGTTCCATAGAGAACCACTGATAAGGTTTATACGATGGTATAAACATGTGTTCCTAAGCTGCTCTTCTGAATGAGCTGTTACTCTCCAGCTTTTTAAGTTCTTTCTTTTTTTTTTAACTGGTTTTTAAGAGCAGTTAACAGTCAGTGACTATGCCTTTATCCTAGGACCTAAAAAGAGCATTTACATGAAGAGAAAGGTCAGTCCATTGATGTAGTAACTGCAGTACTGAAACTGAATAAAATTTAGTTACTAAATGAAGATTTAGTAAATGAATGCGGATCAACAACTGCTAAAATGTGAAATCATTGTTAGTTTTCTACGCACTTGCAGTCAAATGACCACTAAAGGAAATTCATGGGATTGGAGCTTTCTACTATTGAGATTAAAATGCATGTTAATAGGTAGAATTTAAGGGAAGCAAAGGAAAATGAAACTTTGCATAAAATTATTAAAGAAATGGCTTAAGAAACCATCCATATCTTGCCATAAAAATACTTAAGTAACAGCTTTTTTTTTTTTTACCTTAATTGTTGTTGTCGGCCCCTGAATTTTTGTGACCTCAGAGTAACAAAAGATTAATTCTAAAGCAGTGAATTAATTACATTCCCTTCATCTCTCTTTCTTTATGTTCTAAAACCAGTTCTGAAATAGGATTTAACTTTTATTTCACTTCTGTATCATTTGATTTGATTTTACTCTATAGGATATGTTTTAAATAAAATTATCTTGATTTTCTTTTTTCTCTAGGTCCGACCCTCCAGTACCTGCGATGTTGAAAATGGACCACAGCCCAACTGACATGTCTTTAGAAACTCTACCAAACAGCGGTTCAGGAGACCTCTTTGATGAGATTTAACTGTCTCAGAAAAGTACTTTGATGTTCACTAGACTATGCTTTCTATTCATTTCTTCAAACTGAAAAAAACGAAATTTCAACTCAGCAACAGCTATTACTTCATCTTACAATTTAATTACATACACACTGAGTTTAAACCATTGTGCAGAGTGGATTACACATGAATATGAAGATAGGATTTGATGACAGTGGTACATTATTCTAAACTATTCATTCAGCATGCCTATAATTACATAAAATCTCACTTTTTGTTTCGAAGGACACGTTTATCTTGTTCAGTTTACACGTATTATGTGTGGTAACTGTCTAACATCCTGTCTAGGAAGGTTTTGGAAATATGACAAAGAAAATGTCTACAGGTTTTTTTTTTGAATAGTCATATTCAGAACAATTCTGTCTGAGCATTTAATTTGTGGAATGATGTATAAAACCTATTTTTAGTTTGTATACAAACAACCTGAAAATCTGATGATAAATTTCTGATGCATTAAAGATTTTGCATTCTTAATAAATCATTTTACTTTTTTCTTTGCTATGCTAACAGGTCTTAACAAAGTGCTTACTAATATAACCCCTTTCATATAAAAAAAGCATGTTTTGTGAGATTATTGATAAAATCCTTGTTTTATATGTATTAGGACCCTCTTTAGCGACAAGGTCTTGTCATATTCACATATCATATTCACTTCAATGACAGCTGGCACAACTTTTTAAAAATAAACAGTTTCTGTTTTCTAATCTCTCATTTCATTCTTGTTCTCTCCGGTTGGACATCCCTTTCCTTCATGCTACTCAAAGTCAAGAATGACCCCCGTGGCCCTGGCCGTGTCATTCAGTTCATTGGAGCGTCCTCCAGTACACCAAAAAGGTTGCAGGTTCGATATCCGGTCAGGGCACATATCCAGGTTGTGGGCCCGATCCCAGTGCGGGGCATGCAGGAGGCAGCCAATCAGTGTTCTCTCATCGTTATTTCTCTCTCTCTCCCTCTCCCTTCCTCTCTCTCTTAACTCAATAAAGAAAAAAAAATTTTAAATAAAATTTAAAAAAAAAGAGTGACCCTCATGTTCCCATGTTGATAAGTCCAACTGGTCCATTCTTAGTCCTTATCTTACTAAGCCTCTCAGCAACCGTCGACAGTCAAACACTTCTCAGAAAACATTTTCTTCACTTGACTTTTATGAGAATACATGCTCTTTGTATTTTTTTTCTTCCTGGCCACTCATATTTTAGACTTCCTGGCTGAGTTCTTGCCCAGCAGTTAAATGTTTGATTACTGGGGGCTTAATCCAGCCTTCTTATTGTCTTTGCCCACATTATCTCCTTAAATTATCTGTGATTTTAAATAACATTGTTATGCTGATGTCTCAAAAATTAGAGTATTGGAATAGTTCTCTCTATATACAGGCTGGGGCAAAAGTAGGTTTATGGTTCGTAAGGAAAATAGTACAATAATTAATAAACAATAATGCAAGAATAAACTCTGTTTTGCATACATACGTACTCACAACTGGAAACCTACTTTTGCCCCACCCAGTATTTATTATTTATCACACAAGGAGGCAGTTAAAAATCCATCTGAGTACATCTGTTTGCTTATTCCTTTATTGGGATGTTTTAGCACATCTACAGCAGAGCTTTGCTTATATCCCAACTTCAGCTCTTCCACAGTCTTCCCCCTCGAACTGATTGCTCTCCTACCTACCAAGGTGTTTCAAGCTGAAAAGCCAGGAATCCTCCCTGGTGCATCTGCCTTTCTCCTCCCACGTCCTATTATTTTTACCTCCAAGATACAACTTGACTCTATCTACTTCTCTCTGTCCACTACATCTGCTTTCTGACTGGTCTCCCTATATAATCTACTCCTCTACAATCCAGACAAATTGAATTTCAAAATCTTAGATAAGTTCATTTTATTGCCTAAGTTAAAACTCTCCCATAGTAATCCATTGCCCTAGGAATGAAGTTCATACCTCATACCACAACCTGCAAGGTCTGATCTGATGAGGCCCCTGTCCATCTCTCCCCTTTTTTTTGTTCCTTTCTCTTAACTTATTTCTTGCTGTCCCGCAAGTGGGCCGGATCTCAAAACCATCGTACCGCTAGTCGTTCTGCCTAGAAGGCTCATCTCGTACAGCTGATTTCTCATCCGTCAGATCTGGACTCAAATGTCTCCTCAGAGTTGCTTTCCCTGAAATCCTGTTTAAAGATGTGCATATCCCCAGTCACTCTGTCTCACCGGAAAGTCTTTTTCACTGTGCATGGAATTATTTTTCATATCTCTGCTCCGTTGCTCTCCCTCCCTCCCTTCCATCCTAGAAAACCAGCCCATCATAGCAGTGTCATGGCTGGCTGCTCTAGGACCGGGCCGGACTCATGAGGCTTACCATGCGTGTACTGAATGAATAAATGCATGTACTGAATGAATAAACGCTGTTGCATAATAGGCACTCAAATGCTTCTTTAAGTTACTAAACCATTTTGAAAAGAAACCCATTAAAAGATAGAAACTTAGGTGTCTTGATACAAACAAATAATATCTCAGAAAGTTCAAGTACCTTCTGTGATTAATTATAAATAATATATGTAGTTCAACCTTAGGGTTTGAACTGAGCGGGTCCACTTCTCCACAGTTTTTCAGTAAATACCTGTACTGTTTTTTATCGTCAGTGGGAGTCTGCAGATGTGGGGATCCCACTGGATGTGTTTTCTACACCATTTTGTATAAATATTGGAGCATCTCACATGTGCTTCTGTGGGTCTCCCAGAACCCATCCCCTCCAGATCCTGAGGGTCGACTTAAGTTTTTGGGAAGTCAAAATTGTACATGGATTTTCGACGACATGGGGTCTGTACCCCAAGCCCCTTGTTTTGTTTTTTTTTATCCTCACCTGAGGACATTTTTCCATTTTTTATTCAGATAGAGTGGGAGAAAGAGAGAAGCATCGATGTGAAAGGGACACATTGAGTGGCTGCCCAACCAGGACTGCATGACCCAACCAGGGCTGGAGACCCAACCAGGGCTGCAGACAAACTGCAACCGAAGTACATGCCCTTGGCGGGAACAGAACCCAAGTCTCTCTGGACCGCAGGCCGACGCTGTAACCACTGAGCCAAACCGGCCAGGGCCAAGCCCCTCCTTTTCAAGGGTTAACTATACGTACGTATGTACACACATAGGCTTGACTGTAGAAAGAAATTGCACGTCATTGTTTATTTCAGAAACAGGATTTTACTAAGTCAATGGAACAACAAAGTATTTTAAATAGAAATTCTACTGCATTTTTATCTTCATAGTGGACTCTGCTTAAGAGGGAATTTTAATTAAATGTAAATACAAATATATGAAATATAAAAATAGAATTATAAAACATAAAATTCTACTGAGCCACATAGAAACTTTAATAATGAATCTCATATAATCCAAGATTTACCTTGGATCTTTGTAAAAGAATTTTGCACATGTAGTACCAGAATCTCAGAATAATGTTATCTCCTAAGTAGACCACAAATGACTAACCAAAATCAGTATACAGCTGTGTGTGTGTGCGTATATAAAATTTGTTTTAAGTGGACGAGAAGAAGGAGGAGAAAACAGAATTTTGCTCATTAACCTACTAGTGATGGGAGAGGGATACGGGGAAAGTGTTTCCTAAATAATCATAACAATGGACTCTATAAAGTTCGTAATATTTACAGAATTTTCATTGTGTTTTTCTAAGGCGGTGGATCTTTTCAGTCATCGCTGTGTGTCAAATTGGTTCATCTGGTGGGAACAGAGCATAACAAGCCCTTTACCATGGTTTCCTCCTCTATATCTAGTGTGGACAAACAAGGGATGGCTTCACATTGCTTGCCCCGTGAAGACAGATACTATAGGTGTGGTGTTAAGATGTCCAGATCCTGCCATTCCGTGCCCTGGTCTTCCTCTTGCTTCCCCCGTCTGTTCTGCGAAGCAGGTTGGTGCAGAAGAACACGGAACCGGAAGGCGCCAGACCTGAGCTGATCACAGCCCAGCTTTGCCTCCTTACAGCCCTCACTTCTGCAAGAGGCGACTGCGTTGCTGAAGGCCTTCTCAGCTGAAAACGTACCATTCTTGGCCCTGGCATTAGATGCTATGGCTCAGGCTTCATTAGGGAAATTCATGAAAGGAAAGTCGCATCTCAAGAAGAAATATTGTTATTATGTAGTTTTAAAAGGTCAAGAAACTGCTTTATAAAAGTTTTTCTTGGTGGCCTGTCACTCAGACTTATAAAATACTCTCTCCTATGTTTTGGAGCCAAGCAGCTCTTTGTCGAGTCCATTTTATTTGACAAATGTTTAAAAAGGATCGGTTTTGCACAAAGCCCAAAACCGGGCCATGTAAAGAATTTAAGGATAAATCCATCCGTTCACCAAATATTTGCAGAGCACTTGTGCCCGTCGCTGTTCCGGGTACGAGAGGTGGCCGTGAGGGATGTGAGCACTGTGGCTGTGGAGCTTAGGTTCTAGTGAGTGAAATCTGGGGCCTGCTCTCGAAGAGCGGAATATTGGGGGTTGGGCTAGGGGGTCCCAAATCACTGTATAATGAACTATAATATCAAGGACTGGTTGGATAAGTGGCATAAAGAGCAATGACAACTTTCCAGTTATGGGTGAGGATGTTCAGACAATCAAAGATTTAACAGAGGTTAAGGGAACATGGTACAGGCTGAGTACAGGGAGCTGAGACTGAAGCCGTCTGCCAGATCACAGGACAGCGCAGAAGGTCCCGGGAAATGGGAGCGTGAGGTCAATGCCCAGGTTCGGCATTGTGAGCCATCGGAATGAAGGACACAAGTTGGAAGGTAACCCAGAGGTTGTATTGGCTGGGGGTGTTCAGGAGTGTGAAGCTAATTTATGTCGTAAGGATATGACAGTAATTGAGTTCCACCATTCTAACTGCACTTCCCTGGGAAGGTGTGAACCCAGAAAACTTCCTGCACGTCTGGAAGTGGGAACATAAGCCCAGGCAAGGGGCCCCTTGATAGGTATTGCCAGAAGAGCAGCTAACCCTCATCCTTTTGTGTCTCTCGTGTTCTTTCACGCAGTACTATTTATAGAATTTATTTTTAATAAAATGATGCTAACATACAAATTCACATAAGGCCTCATGAGTTTACCTATATGTCAGGAAATCCAAAAACTAGGTAGTTACATTTTGTAAGGGAGAATGATATCATCACAAAAGAACGATTCTTGCATCCATTGTAGCTACTGTCTGAATTTTAAATTTTCACAGCCGGTCTAACAGCTTCTAAGAAAGGCTTTTCATGGGGATAGATTTCATTTGCAAACGTTTTACTGGTAACCAGGAAA